ATCTTTTAAAAAGATCTTGTATTTCCCCTCTTGAAATACACAGCACACCACACACACACACACACACACACACACACACACACACACATATATATATATATATATATATATATATATATAAACATGGTGTGTTTATATATATATATATATATATATATATATATATATATATATATATATATATATATATATATATATAGAGAGAGAGAGAGAGAGAGAGAGAATATATATATATATATAGAGAGAGAGAGAGAGAGAGAGAGAGAGATTGGTTATTTGGTATAATGAAGGAAAAGGAAATAAGAAGAGATAAGTCGGGGTAGAGATCGAACGGATTGAATCTGAATTGTCATATTCGGATAAATTACATTTTCTTCGAAAGAGAAAAAAGACTTTTTACAATTTCTTTCCAAAAAATGAAAAAATCGTAAATAGAATTTTGGAACTTGGAATATAATGAAAAAAACTTTTTTCCAAAACATGAAATTTTAGATCAGAATCAGCATAAATTGAAAATTCTTTTTCTTCCGCTATTATTTATATAAAATTCAAAATACTATTAATATTGTAAATGTGACTTTAGAACTGTTTTAATAGATTTAAATTGGATTTGAAATTAGAATTTCATAAATATTAAAAAATACATACATGTAATTTGTAAATGTAACATCTCACAAATGACAAACCATGCATTGACGTGTATTGTTTGAATTAATGTTTTAGTTTATTGCATTCATCACTCCCTTTATTTAATTTAATTATTAAAAAACTCCCGTGTTGTTTATAATATCAACATAACACCCTCGTCTTTTTTTTTTTTTAATTTTATTTTATTAATTACAACTTTACCCCATACGCGTAAATACGCAGGTTCTGCATGGACAATATTATCAAGATCCTTCTCCGAGTACTGCATATTAGGGTGGGACAATCTCCCAAGAACCCTACTTCTTTACTACACGAACTTCGTCTCGTCGCCGGAGGGCTATTTCCAAACATTGCTATGCAACTCCGACGAATTCAAGAACACGACAATCAACCATGATCTTCACTACATCACATGGGACAACCCCCCCAAACAGCACCCTAAGTCACTCGGTCTTAAAGACTACCGAAAAATGATTCTAAGCAATAGGCCCTTTGCACGAAAATTCAAGAAAAACGACCCCGTTTTGAATAAAATCGATCGAGAACTTCTCAAGAGAGGGGGCAGGCAGTTTTCTTTAGGAGGGTGGTGTTTGGAAGATGATAAATGTTCGGATTTTCGGAGCGAAAATTACGGTGTTTTAAGCCCCGGAGCTGGTTCTAGAAGATTGAGGATTCTTCTGAGAAAGTTGGTCTCTATTAATAATAACCAGAGTTTAAGTAGACGGATTTGTAAATAAGTAAAACTTGAGGTGTTTAATTGTTATTATAAATTTTTGTTCTCTTTGATATATATAACACTCAGATGTTCAATTGTTGTTACTGAAAATGTATAATGAAAATTGGTAGTTTATATTTGTTTACGGGGTTTATTTGATGCCACACTCGTTAAAATACACGGGTGATTATTAACCATTGATTTGCGGATAATCATGTATGTTTCTGTAGTGGGTAGTTATTTAATTACATCGATGGTATTAAAATTTACCAAGCGTACGTATATGATCTGGTGTAGCATCTCAATAATCTGCTTATGGTTTGCTTGATTGTAATTAAGAAAAGTTGTCTTTATACGAGTCTATTGATTTTGTGAAGATATTATGAGAAGTAGCTTAATTAATTTACCTAATTTGCCTTTTTGGTGAGAGAGGAGAAATTCATATTGAATTAGTAATTACACAATCAATGCAAATAAATTAACTTGAATGCATTTGATAGTTGAATAATTTTTAAATTAATGGGAGGTATAAACGAATTAAGCACATGCATTAAAATAATTATTTTTATTTTTATTTAGTCTATTTACCTCATAAAAAGTTATATGTTTTTACTACTTTTTAAGGATTCTCAACAATGAGATCATGGCAATATTACATTAATTAAAAGTTCATACTTATGTATTGTTTCTATCTAAAATACCCTTAAAAAAATTCGGGGACGCTACCCTTAGTTAATTATTTCCAAAATCATTATTTCCCTCCAATAAAAATCTGGTTTATGTATCTTCTTAAACGGTTTATTTGATGCTACAGTCGGTGAATATAATACATCGGGGGATTATTAACTATTGACCTGCTCATAATTACACACACATCTATGTGTATCAGTGTATGTATGTTTAGTGGGAAGTTATTTCAACACATCAATAGTTAAAAATCACCCGATGTAATTTACCGGGTGTAGCGTCTCAATGACCACCCATTAAGCACACATATACATAGATACCTGTGTTATTATGTGTAGTCTGTGTAGACCATTGGTTCAAGGTCAACTGATGTATTTCACCGAGGGTACCATCTACAAAACAACCAAAGTAGTTTACAATGGTTATAAAAGTCTCTTTCATGAGCCAATAATTTCTAATCTCTATTAATTGAATTTAAATGTTGACCACTATTTCAAACCCTAATTAAATAAAGAAATATTGCATTTCATTTTTCTTAATTCAACTCTCTCTCACACTATATAAGTACTCTTATTTGTACAAGTATTCAATTAGACAAAAAAAGAGAGAAAAAAAATCACAATTAGTTCTCCTCTCTCTCCACTTAAAGAAAAAATCATGAAGGTTATAAAAATAATCTTCTTAATAATCATGGTCTTAATTCTAATACCCACTCCAACAAACTCGAAACCCGGTTTTCTAGAAATAAAACCGGTGGTGGCAAAACGGGTCAGCCGGTTTCTCCAGCAAAACAACCCGAGAATATCCGGTTCGTGCGGCAATGGTAATGACGGTCAGGTATGTGGCGGCTATTTATTTGAAGGAAGAAACGCTATTTGCTGCAACAACAAATGTACAGAAGCGGGACACGATTTTAACAACTGTGGCGCGTGTGGGATGAAATGCGCTTTTGGAGAAATTTGTTGCAGAGGGGAGTGCGTGAATGCACGCTCGGATAAGAAACACTGCGGTTTTTGTAATAATCTCTGCGTGGGAGATGGGAACTGTGTATATGGTGTGTGTGACTACGCCGTTTAAATTTTAATTTCAGTGTAGTTTTTTGGTGAGTATTTTGATGGGAATATTTTTCGTCAATTAATTAAAAAATAAATATTAACGTTTTTTTTTTTTTTTTTATTAATAACCAATTACTATTAAAGCAACACTGGTATTTTTTTTTTGTGCGATGTTCGAAATAACATTTCAAAATTGAAAAAAATGATAATTATTTAAGTACGTGAAAATAACAATTACAGTAGAAAAAAATATGCTCGCTTTGTAATAGTTCAAGAGTTCAAACGTTGGCTCGTGAGTTTTATTTATTTATTATTATTAGTGTATAATACAAATATGAGTAATAATATTAAAAATTCAAAAAGTAATTCTTAGATATAAAAGTAATAAACGCTAGTATAAAAAAATATATTTGGGGGCTCGTAGATGAAGAAAATTTATTTCATTTGAAATAGTTGTTTTTTTGGAGGAAAAAGGATTTTACTAGACGATAATCGTCATACTGGGAGGTAAAAACGCTCGCAAGCATATGAGCAAGCTTAGGGTAAATTACAATCACCCCTGAGATATAGTAAAATTACGAAAACCTCTTTCATGTTTGGGTAATTACAACCACCCCCTCAACTTTAAATCTTCTTCCACGTCCACCCTTGCGGTTTCAAATTTAATGGAATCTTCGAGATTATATGGAATATTATCACCTTTGCACCCGTTTTATCCCATTCGAACTCCACATTTTGAAGCAATATGATCATAATATGTATTTTTTGGCTTGCATATATCAGATTGTGGTGCATCAGAAACTCTATTTTTACATAAAACGAGTACAAACTAATTAAAGCACATTCCACGGGATCTAGGTGATTATGTTGAATTTAACAGCATAAGGGTGAAGGTTTAAGAAGATTCATAGTTGAGAGGGTGGATGTAATTATCCAAACAAGTGGGGATTTTTAGTAAATTTACCATTCCTCAGATGTGGTTGTAATTTACTCGCAAGCTTATTACATAGGCGTTAGACGAAAGAAAAGAAACAACAACTAAAAGAAGATGAAATGACTATAATATCATCAATAAACGCACCAAACGAACACATCGACTGATCATCGTCTTGGATAGCATTAATTACTTGAAAGAAATCACCTTCGAGAATATTCGACGTCCAACCTTTATGTATTGCTTTGAAATCGTTTGTCACAAAGTTTGAAGGCATAGCCTATCTAGTATAATTAATATTTAATATACATATTTATTTAACCAACCATCATTTTAATTTATAATTCATAAACTTGTGGTTCATTTTACTACCAAACTTACTTATGAACATGTCAAAAAAGCATATCAAATTAACCACGTCATTAACTTAAACATAATAAAAGCCTTAAGATGTGAAAATGCAGTTTCAACCATCAAGTTTGCACTGATTTCATATTTTGGTCCCTCACGTTCATAAAAAAAACACATTCAGTCACTCACGTTTCAGAAATTCGACATTTTTAGTCATTCTTATCAATTTTTTGTTAGTACTAACGGAATCAAGCATGTGCGCACGACTACCTTAACTAACAAACTAGCGTTAAATTGACGAAAACGACCGAAAGATCTACCCAATGCAGTACACTGGCAAATATACAAGAATTAATAATAATTTATGCAATTTAAACATGTGTAAAATGTAAACAAAAATATGTGTTAGTTATAGTTTGCCTAAACTTGAAGGAACAAATACAAATGGTCCCTCTCCTATAAGGGATTTGATTATTATGAATAAATATTTCTATGGACAATTTTGATATAATTAATGATATGTAAATATTGTTTAGGTTTGGTACAACAAATTATATCTGTGGTTCCAGACTCTTCTTAAGGTTGCCCTAATAAGTAGATTAACAAATAAAGTTAATTACTAATATTGCAAACCTTAATTAATATAAAATTATATCTACTAGTAATTGTACCCGTGCGATGCACGGGACAACAAATTGCATTCTTTTGATGTTGTAAGAATATAAACAAACGTTTGATGTATCGTATGATCAAAATTCTATTATACTGGAACATTATTAAGTATACTACACACACAAAAAAAAAGGACATAACTTTAATGTTGAATAATTTTCCAAATGAATTGAATCAGCTAATACCAGTAGATTGAAAATTTGAACCAGGAAAAAAATCATCAATTATGTCTTCCATGTTGAGCTTAAAAGTAATTAGATTTAATAACTAAGTTAACATAATCAAAACTAAACTATCGACAACATACCATCGTAAACGGCCATCTATACATCTTGCATCGGAACTAAGCCCTTCTCCACTGCCTCATTTTAAGGTTGTTTTGCCACTGGAATTAACAATTGAAAAATTAAGAAACAAAAATAAATATAAACAATAAATTAAATATCGCATACAAACAATAAGTCTTGAAGGTCGACTTCCAATAACTTGTGGCTCCGCCCATTTTTGGTTAATTTTCTCAAATCATCCCTTTCAATAACATGTCCAATAACATATAAAATGAAATAATTGTTATACATAAAATTTGAAAACTTTGGTATAAATTAATGAAACACATAATTTAACAAAATGAAATTACCTATAAGCCATGATGGAAAAAGATGTAAACTAATTGCCACACATGCAATAGGATGAAGAAGAAGATAAGAAACAAAATCTAAAGTCGGGTTACCAAAAGAAGAAGCCTTAGGTAGGGAAGAAATAAAATTCAAATGTTGCTGACATTCTGTAAAACGATGTCACAAAATTCGCTAGGGGTGAAAATCAGATTTATTTACCCTTTTCTGTAAAAATCGAAAATCAGATTATTATAAATAATATCTAGGATAATTTGATGAAAATCGATAATAATATTTAAAATAATATTTCGGAGATAAAAATTTGATAAAAAAAATCAAAAAATAATATTTAGGATATAAAAATCAAAAATAAAATTTAAAATAATAGTTAGGAGATAAAAATTTGATAAAAAATCGAAAATAATATTTCAAATAATGTTAATGAGATAAAAGTTGATAAAATATGAAAATAATAATTAGAATAATATTTAGGAGATAAAATATGATTAAATCAAAATTATTATTTAAAATAATATTTAGGAGATAAAAATTTGATAAAAATCGAAAATAATATTTAGGAGACAATAATCTGATAAAAAACGAAAAATAATATTTAGGAGATAAAAAACTAATAAAAACATGATAAAACTCGGAAAAAATATTTAAAATATTATTTAGGAGATATAAATTTGATAAAATTCGAAAATAATATTTAGGAGATAAAAATCTGCTAAAAGTTGAAAATTATATTTAAAATTATAGTTAGGACTTAGGAGATATAAATTTGATAAAATTAAAAAAAATATTATTTATAATAATATTTAGGAGATAAAAATAAAAAATAATATTTAGGAGACAAAAATCTGATAAAAATAAAAAATAATATTTAAAATAATATTTAGGGGATACAAATATGATAAAATTCAAAAATAATATTTAAAATAATATTAAGGAGATAAAAATTTGGTAAAAATTGAAAAAAAATTACAAATATGACATTAGGGTTTCTTAGGGCTGACCTAGCGTTTCTTTCTTTTATATATAAGATATATATATTGCTATTAAGCAAACCATGCATAAAGAAAACACAATGTCATATATGAAACCAAACGAGGCCAAAATTCACATGCTATGGCCCATGAAAAATCTAATTATAAAATTGGTCCAGGCCCATTATAGTTAATGGAAAGAATATATGTCCATTAATTCTTCTAATTAAAATTACGGTAAAATTACAACCATCTCCTTGATATAAAAGTCAATTTAAAAGAACTCATCATTTTTGAGAAATTACAACCAGATTCCTGTAGTTTGTAAATTTCTTACATTTACCCACTATAAAAGGGTGTTAAATTAGGAAATCTACAAATTTTGAAGGGGTGTATGTAATTATGGAAAAATGAGGGGTTTTTTATTAAAAAAAATAAACTTTACTTCGGGGATAGTTGTAATTTACCCTTAAAATTATCCTCTACACACGTGTCATAATTATTTTTACTGAAATGATAAATCTTGATTTATTGGTATAGTTCCTACTTTAAATGTAGACCGATTGAGTGATTTTTAACCATAGATCTTCACATAATTACACACACGCCAAGTGTATGTGTGCTTAGTAGACAATTATTTAATCTCAGGTTAAAATCGATTCATGTATATCAGCCGATGTAGCATCTAATCCCCTCATCCGTATCATGTACATATTTAATTTATCTGCGAGATAGACATACACACGTTTTGTTTTGCATGTTTTAATTATAAATTAGAGGAAATTACGGCCACCCCTGAGGTATGGACAAATTACGAAAAACCTCTTTTGTTTGGGTAATTACAGCCACTCCCTCCTTTTAAATGTTTTTACATAAAATTTATGTTATTCGGTTATTTACTGAACCAAATCGTATATTCAGTTCGGAAAACGGTATGAAATGTTGGCGTACCGAAATTTCGGTTCAGTTTTACCGATTTAACATCCCTAAATTTACCTCTTGAAGGGTATTTTCGTAAGACAATACATAGTTCAGAAGGGTGGCTGTAATTACCCAAACATGAGGGAAATTTTTTTAATTTAACCATAACTCAGTGACGTAATTTGCCCTAGAAATTATAACTAGCCAAGGCCCGGGGGTGGTTAGTCGACAAACCGTACCGAACCGTACCGAAACTTTTATAAACGAACATTGTTTCGACAAATTGATTTGAACTAACTTTATAGAGAGGAGAGTATTAAATTTACCCAGATTATGTCGGATACAAAGATTTATTTTGAATTTCTAGAATATAAATCTGAGTCGAACTAGAATAATATTAAATAATTATTTGAATAGATAAGGAGAATTAAATAACTTTCTAACCCAAAAAAAAAAAGGAAAACTTTTGACAAAATTGAAATTGTGACGTTTATATATTGACAATTTATTCAATAAGATTTGGCGTTATGAATTAAATGAATATTGACTATTACTACATGCATGCAATCCAATTTATATAATTTTATTTATTATTAGAATATTGATTATTCTCAAATTTACTACATTTTAGCTCTATATATAAGACAGTAATTTATATCCAGAGATTGCCATATTTCTTTTAAAAAATGGGAGGAATTCACAAAGTTTATCTCTTCATTCTTGTTGCACTTTTATTAAACACTCAAATTTTATTAATTTCTGCAATTCAAATAAAAAATAATTTGAAAACTGAAGTTGTCATTAACAAACACTCTCAGGTTCTTATTTTCTGCCCATTTTTCTTTCAATTTTCTTTTAAATGTTTTCTTTAATTTGTATTTGTATGTATGTGTATGTATACTTGGTGTGTAAAAATCGAATGCAAAATTCACCAAATTTTGATCCAATTTTTCTTTTAAAATCAACAAGAGTTTTTCGTCTTAAATTTGTGTTGAGAACTTACTCGATTTTTTTAATCTTTGTAGGATTTGGGTGACGCGACAAACATTGGCGGGCGCGATCTCGAAACGGATGAGAAAATGGGTTTGAATGTGGATACGATAATGGATTACGGCCCACCCGGAGCGAACCCGGGTCATGACCCGTTTAGTCCTCCACCAAAAAGAGTATCAAGAAAGTTTGTCTAAGACTGATGGGAAAGAAATGTAATCAGGTGAATGCAATAGTGTTGTAATTTGTGTGTTTGCAAACACTTGTACAAAAATAAAATATAAGTTTTTATTGGCTTATAACTTTTTTTTTGAGTATTTTTAAATTCAAATCTTGTTTTTTTTTTTTTTTTTCGTTCTATTGTTTTTATTTGTGGCAATGAAGGAACACCACAGCCAAAATAACGGGCTTAACACAATCAGTGGGAATAGAAAACCTTATCACGCTTGACTGTAGTCCGACTTTATGAAATGACTTGAGCTGTATCGGATAAGTGGGAGTCCAAAGGCGAAGGTGAAATACTACTACTTTTAACGTTAATTTACTTATTCCGTGAATCGGAAGCGGGGCATTGCCCCTCTTTTTGGACCCAATCAGCAAACCATATAGATGCACGGTGTAAACCTACATTCTAGTAATAGTTTGCAAACCATACGAGAGTCGTAAACCGCATTAGGACAAGAATGTGTGACGAGATCGACTAAGCGATCAAATCTTGCTTTTGTTTCTCTTATATGAGTTGCTTTAACTTAATAATATGAACAAAAAAAAACCAATTTTTTTTTTTTTTAATTTAAAATCACCTTTTATAATTTATGAATGGTTGCATTTCATATTTATTCCGTTAAATAGTATTTTTCATTTAAATCCATTTCATTATGATGTATATATTTTGAATGATAACATTAGAATGCAAATATTCTTGAAAGCTTGGACCAATTACAATTTTCTTTTTCTTTTTTTTTTTTTTAATATATTTGAAATAGACATAAAGAACCATAATTTTTGATTAATTAAAATAATCAAATCATTAGCCGGAACTGCGGCTAAAATTAAAAACAAGCCGGTTAATTACTACGTGGAAACCTCTAATATATCAGTCGGATTACAGCAACTTGCCAGATAATCATCTTATTATTTAATTTTTCATATTTCAATTTTAAATTCGATTAAATTATATATAACAGAAATTATTATCTGACCCCCAAATGTCAAAGCCGTTACTCTTGTTGCTGCCTCTTCTGATGCGGATACAATCGTAAATAATTTATGCAGCTGCAGCAAGCGAGCATGTATCAATTGACCTAAATTTGAATTTTCTTGTCAGCGGTAACATGAACAAGTTTGTCTTACGTAGTTAGTCTAATGTAGTTTACTTCTCTCGTATGATTTGCAAGCTATTATACGAGAGTATAAGTTTACCTAGTGCACCTATGTGATTCCATTACCAAAAAAATAAAAATAAAAGTAAATGTTCTTCCAATTGATTAATTTTATAAAAAAATATAATATTGATATGCCTAATTGGCACAACCCAATGGGCCTACAAATTATTTACCTACTGGGCTACGAGCCCAATATCGAAGACCACTATCACCGAGACCCAATCACCTTCAAGCAAGGTTTAGGCCCGACAATCTTAACTAAGCTATAAATACACATTTGAACTCATTCCATAAGGTATGTCATATTATCTGAGCAATACGATTAACTGTATTCTCTGGACTATTTCTAGGATCAGCACGTCTGACTTGAGCGTAGAGGGGTTTCCGCCGGATCAACCCCCGGCCTAGTTTACGTGTTCTATGATCGCAAGTATCTCAAGGTCATCAAGCTCGTGAGCCAGTGATCCACTCTGCTCTTCCAGCTCATCCTACTTCAACTATCTAAGGTGATCTATCTTTAGCATCATCATTTTGGCGCCGTCTGTGGGAAGGCAAACACAATCACGTAGCGCACATGATGGCCTTGAGACATCTGCTCAGGGGAGTGTGCTAACAACCTCACACCTCGTGGAGGCTCTGGCTTGTCACATCCTCCCGCCCATCGATTGGTTCAGACAACTAAGGAGGCCCTTCAACGCTAGTAAGGGTTATCGACTCCCTGGGGGTATACAGTGCCCCCAAAACATTTCGCTCGCCAAGGGTTATCGACTCCCTGGGGGTATACAGTGCCCCCAAAATATTTCGCTCGCCAAGGGTTATCGACTCCCTGGGGGCATACAGTGCCCCCAAAACATTTCGCTCGCCAAGGGTTATCGACTCCCTGGGGGCTTACATCTGCCCCCAAAATATTTCGTTCGCCAATGGTTATCGACTCCCTAGGGGCTTACATCTGCCCCCAAAATATTTCGTTCGCCAAGGGTTATCGACTCCCTTGGGTTTACAGTGCCCCCAAAATATTTCGTTCGCCATGGGTCATCGACTCTCTGGGGGCCTACTTCCACCCCCCCCCTCGAACGGTTCAGATAACCGAAGAGGACCTTCAGCGTATGATCGCCGAACCTCCAACAAGATCAACTTTTACATGCTCCTCTAACGGTTCAGATAACCGATAAGGACCTTCAGCGTACGACCGCGAAAGTTTCAACTCGTGTTGCCACTGAAGCAATGGCACAACCGTGCGCATCCACCTCAGACCATAGGTATCGAACGCCTCATCCTAAAGTGGGGGGCTATCCCATCCCATGGTTGGCATCACCCTTACCTTTCAACCCCAAGTGGGTGCATATCCCATCTCAAGAGACGAGTATAATCTCCATACTAAAAAAAAAAAACATCCCCAAAGGGGTGAACATCAACCACCTAAAAAGAAAGAAGAAGAAAAAAAAAGAAGTTGAAGAAAAAAGAAACAAGCAAAAAAGAAGAAGAAAAAAGAAACAAGAAAAATAAAGAAGAAGAAAAAAGAAGAAGATGAAAAAACAGAAGAAGAAGAAAAAAGAAGAAGATGAAAAAACAGAAGAAGAAGAAGATGAAGATAAAAAAAAAATTCCAAGCCAAGCCGCGCGCCACCTTCTCCTCGGGGCGCGCGCGCAAAAAAAAAAAAAAAAAAAAGGGGAAGGGCGCGCGTGGAGAACATGCGACTGACGCGCGCAGTGCACAGCACGCGCGGGTCAGCAGAAGAAAAAAAAAAAAAAGGACAGGAGGCGCGCGTGCACAGCACGCGCGCGTGGGCGCACACGCGCTGACGCGTAGGGGTGGGCATTCGGGTCGGGTTATTCGGGTATAACCCGACCGGATCGGGTAATTTTTTATGAAACCGGGTTTTTTCCGGGTTCGGGTACCCGGTGCTCCCAAACCGTGTCGGGTCCGGGTATTAGAATCCTACCGGTTACCCGATCGGTAC